TGAAACTCAAGGGCTGGAAACATATTTATTAAATTGAAAGTAAAGATTATGATGAAACAATTTTGATGGTGTAGTGAATTAAGATATAAGTGGGAAAAAGATATTTTTACTTATTCTTGTAAATAAATAATGATAAATACTAACAGTTTGAAAAAATGCACAGTAAGATCTAAAATTACCTTGTACCTTGGACTTTCATCTAGCAACAAGTAATTGTCCAACTTTTACAAGCTATTTAGTGAAGCTGAAAGAGTTTTGCTATCAAGCAAAGTAATGAATTGTTCATTAGAACGTATACTACATAAAATCTATGAGCAGCAGAAGCCACATCTTGGAAGTGTCTCTTTTTATTCAGATTTTACTTAAGAGTATATGTATATGCTTTTATTTAAATTCCAGGGACTTCAGTATGTTTCAAATGCTGTTCTAATTCTTACTGCTTTGCTGAGTTAGAGCTAAGGTGTTAAAATTTTCATACTAGTGAATTTTGAGCATGGATAAAGGCTTAATGTAATACAAAAGTACAATTTACTGCTGTTTATCTGTCTTTCCAAGAAAAAAAAAAAAAAGAAAGCTTGAGTAACACCCTTCTTTCTTACTTACAAATGCTGAAGCTTAGAACAATTTCTGCTTGTCCAGTAGTGGAGTTGCCTCCAGACTAGCCTTTGCGGGGCGCACTGCATTGGAGGATGAATCGCAACTTGCATGGTCGGTAGAGGAAGTTTTAGAATAGGTCAATAAAGTGGACAGTAACAGATTGCTAAGACCAGCTGGTACTCACCCCAGACTTCTAAGGGAACTGAAGGATGAAACAGCTGAGCTATGAACTGTGCAGTGTAAACTATTATTTGAACTTATGCCAGCATCAGAGGAAAGGAAGCAAGGTGACAAATGTGATGACAGTTTTTAAAAAGGTTTCTGGGGTTTGAAGATCTATGATTAGCAAAGTTGATACCATGGTGGACTTATTGTAGGTAATCATTAATAGAGGGTAGAATTGGTTAGTTAACAATTTAATAAATTACTGATATACAGGCAAAATCTTCTCCATCTCAGTAATGTTTGAAATCAAGTAGGATTTTGGGAGCTGTTCAAAAAGAAAAGCAAAATAATAATAATAAAACTGTACAAGTTCAAGCTGTGCCCACATCCTGCGTATTTGAGTGGGTTTTTTTCGTGTCGCTAATAAAAGGTATGGTAGAGGTACAGCAAAAGTGATCAAGATTATTCAAACAAATAAAAGGAAGTCTTTCTTTGTACAATGCATAATTAAGAATGGGAACTCTGTGCTGAAGGACTTCATCAATGTTTAATATTTACTAGGTGTAAAAAGCAATTACACAAATGCATGGAAGAACAATCTGTTGAGGATTATTAAATGAAAAGATTTTACTCTGGAATTGGACAACCTCTGAAAGGCAAATATATGGAGACTTCCAAAGAAGCGTATGGTTGACTCGTTCGTGTACTTTTTCCTATTCATCTTATTGATCTCTGGAAGAGGTTGACTTTTGATCCAACAGGGCATAGTTATTCTTATGAAGAGGTTTCTGGAGGCAGCAGCGTAGTTATGATTCTGCCTGCTTTTTTAACTGGATCTTGCGCATTCTGTTGCCTTGTCCCACTTAATCTGACACGTGCTGGCTCCTTTTGTGTCATTCTCTATCTCCTTTCAGATATTGGACCCAAAAATGTGGAGTTGAACAGCTGTCCAATTTCACAGGGTAATAAGTAACAGTACGGTGCTTCTTGAATCAGCTATGCTCACCTCACTTGCAACTGCACTTGGGTCCTGTTATTCTGCTTTTGATAGCTTCTGTCAAGTGATGAATCAGCCTTGTAAGCCCAAGTAGCTAAGCCTTGATGGTAGAAATATATCTTAAAATTGGGAGGTCTGAAAACCGCAGAATTATGTGTCTCCTGGAACTAGACTGTACTGCTGGGAACACCAGTATGTTTTGCTTTTCCCTGTTCAGCAAACTCCATTGTAGCAGAAAACTCATCTCTATCCCCCCTTTTTCTGTTCCTCTCCCAGGAAAATTAGTGAAGTTTTAAATCCTTCCAGGAGTTGAACCAGTCGTGGTTAAAACTTTCAGTTGTAGTGTTGGAGCCAAGCAGATGTTCAGATTGTAACTAAGAAAAAGATTCTTCTGATTTATATATGCCATATTTCTAAGAGTGTTTCAGATGGTTACTTCTTAAGAAATAGGATTTCAGAGTTGATTTTTTTTTCTTTCAGAATTTCATCAGCTGCCATTAAAAAATGTAAGAGTTTAATGTCTTTGGTATATGAATGAACTAACATTATTTAGAAATTATTTAGTCAGTATGATAACACTTAGGTTTTCAAAATAAAATGAACATGGTGTTTCTACTTTAAAAAGCTTAGTGATTTAGTTTAACTACTTGGCTAATTTTCCAAAAGCTGTACTTTTTAACTGTAGACTCCTGTGTTCATTGTTATAAAAGAGGAGGAAAAGGCTGAAAGCACATACACAAGTCCATTTGGTTGCCAGTGTACTAGTTCCTGATACATGATCTGTCCGCCTGTGCTTGTTTTCGCTGTGTCTTCTTGCAAGTAAGGACCTTATATGTCCATCTTAATTACCTGTTGTTTTTTTTTTTAATCTTGGTCCACCTATTCATGCATGATTGTACAGTATTGAATGGGCAGGATGTGTGTGCTGGCTACTGTAAAGATTCTAAGATGAAATACTTATTTTTATGCATTTAATGTGATGCACACACAGAAAATTAAAGACTACATTAAGTAATATAAAAGGTGCTACGTACTAAAACCATCTGAAAAGATGTTCCGAATTGTTGCTTTTTAAAATTTTTTTTTCTAGAACTATAAGAAAAGGTATCAGTATATTACACTTATAAATATAATTACTCTTCAACTCATGTACATATTACATATGCTTCAGTTGTTTTCTCATGCAGATTATATAATTATACAAGTTTAATAGGATGGGTATTTTGTGGTAAATTAAAATAGTGAAAAAATAGGGTGATTCATAGAGAAGCTTATATTGTTGGCCATGCAATAACCTCTCAGGGATAAAATGCCTGATTACATTTCTACCTTTGTGCTATCAATGATGCCAATTCTTATGTACCTTTGAGTAATTATTTGTAATAAAATCCTCTATTTTGGATGAGGATTATCATGATGCATGAGTTTAAGTTATCATGAAGCATGACTGAGTTATCACAGTATATGCATGAATTGAGCCACTTCAACAGCAGCATTATCAATATAGGAACATCAGTGCATGTGTGTGTGACTGAGGGAGGTAAGAAGTGACAATCTCTTCAAAACTGCTCAGAAAACAAACATTAAAACTTAAGAAATATTCACTATTGCAGCAACTACCATTCCAAAGGTATGAGTTACCTATGAATAGGAATTGTCAAAAAGGACAGAGGCCTGAATAAACAGGGACTTGGAATACATCGACACCTTTGCATTATATTTTCTACATATCTGTTGTAGTGAATATGAAGAAGTGCCCATACTTTCTAGGAGTTTGCAATCCAATTTGATGTAAAGTAATGGAAAAGTTTTCTGTTCAAAACTGACAGGTAAAACTGTGAAACATTATTTATATTCCTACCATAGTTAATAGCTTCATACTGATTTTTTTTATGTTTTAGATATATGTGCACATAGCATAAGATGGAGCGTGAAAGCTTTTTCATAGTACTTGAAACATAGTCTGTACCCCATAGAAGAACTGGATTAGATTATTAGGAGTGATGAACAGTCCCTGAGGCTAACAGTTGTGTTGATACGACCTTAAAGTTGGTTACTCTGTTTGGAAAGAAGAACGTTTACCAGCTTCTCAGCATTCAGGCATTCCTCCTACTGCTGTGGGCTGTGCCTAGTATCCTCATTTTATCCTTGTTTTTAATAAAAAAAGCAAATAGATGTCTTCAATAATATTGCAGAATGATTTAGATCTAGTTCATAATTTATTTGCTATTTTGAGGCAGATTGTCAGAAATAACTGCTGGTGAACCCTGGAACTCAGTATGGAATGTGCAAATGGAGCTGATGACACCTGTGTAGCGTCACAGTCTAGGAAACAGGCTTGTGGTGTCCTTTTTTGGAGACATGCTTTGTCACATGTCATGTTGTGGAGCTGTTGAAACAATCCACGTCTTTAAAAGCCTGTGTTCTGTCAACCAAAAGACTTGTAATCCTTGTCAGGCCTGTGATATCAAGACTAATGAGGTCACTCCTGGAGTACTGTGGCCAGCTTGAGGCCCCCCAGTAGCAGAGACATGGACATACTGGAGAGAGTCCAATAAAGGGCCACGAAGATGAGGAAGGAACTGGAGCATCTCTCCTATGAGGAAAAGCTGAGAGAGCTGGGACCGTTCAGCCTCAAGAAGAGAAGACTCAGAGGGCTCTTATCAATCTATATAAATACCTGAAGGGAGGATGCAAAGAAGATGGAGCCAGGCTCTTTTCAGCAGAGCCAGTGACAGGACCAGAGGCAATGGGCACAAACTGAAACACAGGAGATATTGTCTGAACATTACAAAACACTTTTCTTACTGTGAGGGTGGCTGAGCACTGGCACAGGTTGCCCACAGAGGTTGTGGACTCTTCTTCCATCCTTGGAGATAGTCAAAAGCTGCCTGAACACAGTCTTGTGCACCTGGCTGTAGGTGGCCCTGCCTGAGTGGGGGGGTTGGACCAGATGACCTCCAGAGGTCCCTTCCAACCTCAATTGTTCTGTGATTTCTAACAAGTTATTCCACATTTTTGCTTTGAATAACCAGGAAGTTTTGTAGCATTTGTTATTTAGCTACAACGTCATCTTCTATTAAAGATCTATTCCTTTGATTCCAGATAACTTTTTGGAGATAAAGAATGCAGCTCTTTCATTTGACTATCCTACTATATGGTGCACAAGTTATCATTTACTTTTAAGAGTCAGACTTCTAAACAGGTGAGGTAGACATCTGCTTTCATAATGAGACTCGATATGGGTATGTCCTTTGAGCCTGTGACCCCAGGCTTGTTCTTTCATTTTTCAGTGAAAACAGACTACGAGATGACTGTTGTCTTAGCTAAGAGGGTAGGAAAGGTGCAAGGTCTTGTATAATTTCCTGTACGCTGTATTACTTAGTGACAAAATAACTCCATTGAGTGTTCTGTAGATTTCTGTGTAATGCAGTTTTCAAGTTTCATCTGAACTAGAAATTCAGACTTTCTAAAATAAATGTTAACATCTACATGTTCCTTTTGAAGCCTGTATTTCAAGGGTATTTTGTTTTTACTCAGTGGGATGATGTATTTTAGCAGATTTTTTTTTTCTTTAGCATACAGATGCACAGACATGATTTTTCTTTCACAAGGATTGTGGGCAGCAGATTATATGAAGACCGGTGTCAGAAATGGAAATGTGGACAGCGATTCGTGAATGTACAAATTATTTCAGTGGCACCTACCAAGAATGTTATTGTTTCAGAGATCTGTGGAGTAGCTGTGTAGGATTCAATCCACGTTTTTATGAAATGGTATTCTGTAGGCTTCCAACTGTGATGTTACATTTGTAAAACAGTTCTATCACCACTCCCTTCAGGACTCTGATTTCAGTCAGATCATTGCCACAGGTGGAGGTACAGTTGAATTTGTATATGGACGCGTGTTTGCAGGACGTGGTAAAAACAATCCTTCCAATAGCTAAAATTCGTTGGAGGTATTTGTCTGTCTGTACACTGGCAACCACATCTGTTAATTTTGGAGTCATGTTAATAAGGATGTAGGATTGTGGAGATAAGAGGAACTGTGAAGAGTGTGAGATGAATTCTCTGTGTTTCAAAGTGCTCTAGCGCTTTGTTTCCCAGCTGGTGAGGGCAGAGCTGTTGGAGCATCGGATGAGGTACTACTGACTAAAAATCACCCAGTTCAGATGCTGGAGCCATGCGTATGCCCCCAGTGTGAGAGGTGTAGCATATAGACCCCATAAAAGGTTGTGCAGTTCTTGGTATGTAACGTTCCTCTTTAGGTATATAATACCTGAAATAAGCCATGTGATTTTGAAAAAGTTAATGGTTTAATATGATGATCCAACTTCTGGAGCCATGAGAGCTGTCTGTGTATTTTGAGATCCCCTGGTTTGATTCTTCTTTCGTTAGCACGACAACATCTTACATCTATTTCCCTTGATAGTCACCTCCTTTCTGCAGCAGATGCCCACTCTCACTGGGCTGCTTTCTCTTTTTCCAGTGTAAGCAAATGTTTCCCATTTTCTATCTTCTGTATGCTTTCCTCCTTGCATAAAGTGTCCTCCCCAAATAAAAATCTAATTTCTTATTTTCTTTGATTTCTTGTTCATCTAGATACTTAGTTCACCTATTCAGATCTTTCTCTTAATTTTTTCTTCTTTTCCCCCAGTGGACTTTTTCCCTTTTTTCTCATTGGAAATATATAATAATTTTGTCTCTTGGGGTTTTTTTTTGCTCCCTCATAAGTTAATAAGCAAATGAAGTAAAAATTTCTAGAGGCAGTACGAGGTATCAGAGTTTTCATTGGAAAGTGCAACATTTCCAATAGGAAAGACAAGTAATGCATATCCTCTGCTTCTTATTGCTGCCAACTACACAAGGATGTGAACTGAATTCTCCTGAAGAATTATCACGTAAGTTTGCAGTAATGTAGTCTGTTGCATAATTGTATAACTCTGCATACAATTCCTGCATGAGTTCCTAGAGTAAATATCTTCTATGCGTATAGATTTCTCTGTAGGGTTGATATGCCTTAAGTATTCCTGTAACATTGTGGATAACCCCATCCTGGGTGAAAATTTCAGAGAGAATTTGTAGCATTGTTTCTTGATTTGAAAGTTGGCAGTTAAAATAGTGCGTGTTTAACTGCTGGTTTTTTTGGTATGTTTGTTATCTGTGTGTTATCTTTGTTACAGGACTTGTAATGCATAAATACTGCTTTCTAGTGCTGGAAGAGGCAAACATTTGTATTTTTTCTGTTTTAGCTTCTATTAGTAACTAGTTCAAGGCTGTCAGGGCAAGTTTAAGTAAATTAGTAAGTTCAGATAATTTCACTTTTTTATTGCAACTATTGAGGAAATTATTTTGTTTCCTGTAAAATGATGATGCAAAGTTCCAAGGTAGCCATTAAGCATTACTGTATTTTCATTATGATTCAGATGAGTAAGTCATGAAGATGGCATGGAACCTGTGCTACAGAGGTAGCCAGGTCTTCCCGTGGAATTTACAATTCTTGCATTGATAAGCAACTCAAAACGATGCATTTAAGAATGACTCTTTTCAGCATGTAGCCGACAAGAAATCTGAGATGTCTGTTAAGATGTGTAACTGCAGGAGAAAACAGTTGCATGATCCTGCGATCCATAGCTCCTGACGTGCCCTTCAGGGCTCAGTAAGGGCTCTTCTTAAAGCATAATCAGAAAAAAGTGAAGCTTTAGTGGTAACCTCTTTTTTTATCCAGTAGCTCAAATGTCATTCTGTTCCTTTTGAACATGAGATAGTGAATTCTCACATTGGTGGTTAAAACCTACTACTTTGCTTACCACAGATGTGAAAGTAAAAGCGTGTCATTTTTCCTGGGAGAGCAGAATGCTAGCTAACCTTTGTGTCAAATCTGTGTGAAAAGAAATACAAGGCCAACTGGTTGTTGTGGGTAGGGTGGGAAGAAAGACAAAAGAGGAGAATTGTGGATTTGTAACCCATTTGCTGGGACCCTGGATACCTGTCCTTCTTCCAAGGACTGCTTTATCTCTCAGCTCAGTAATTTCATTTTTTTTAAAATACCGGGGTCTTTTCTGCACTGTGGCATGTCCTCAAGAGGAGCATCATGCTGCCTAGCAGGTGTAGAGTATTAAAAGTGATTTGGGAGATGATTCAGATTTGTATCTCCACCAACTCAGAAGGGACTAGAATCCAGTTCCTTCAATCCCTATGTGAGATCTTTAAGTTCTTCTCTCTTTGGTAGTATCCTAGACAACAAAGCTCGAAGACCTGAAGATGTCAGTTAGTCTGTGTCCTAATCCTAGGCAAGATATATTGTGCTTAGAAAAACATTTTTTTAAGAATGACATAGCTTTCAAAAATCACTTTTAAAATTTACAGAAGGAATTTCAATTTAGGGAAATCCTCCTGATAATTCATGTTACATCTCGTTTTGTCAAGAATCATCAGTGAACGAGAAATTTTAATCCTATATCTTCTTGACAAGACTTCTTATCTATATCCATCTCCTTCTGAAGTCAGTAGCATGTACTTTTTTTACAACGTATTTTCAACTCTCAAATATTTGAAGCATGCATAACTTAATTTGGAACAATCATGCTGTAAAAGCTTAAAAACTAATTTCATTTCTGAAATAGAATATTAGATAAAAAGTAGTAATATACTGGCTGAATAACATTTGGCAGTTAAGATTTGTGTGTGGGGGGAAGTAAGAAAATAAAAAAAGGACAACCAGATTGGATTTAAGGAAAGATTTCTGTGGTTTTGGTCTTTTTTATTTGTTTGCATAATAATTGGAATGGTTCCTACTAATACATTATCAAGCCTATGCTGTTATTTTAAGTGAAATTCTTACAACAATGTGTGAATAATGAGAAATAAATGCAGCTTACAGAATGCATTTGGGGGATCCTGTTTGTATGAATTATTTTCTGAAAAGAAAGAATAAGCCAAAATTTCCAGCAATGTTAATGTACATTTATAGAATCATTTTGTCTTTGTGGTATTTTATAATACAGTGATTACATCCTTTATTTAAAAATACATTTTTTTTGAGGAGATAAGGAAAACAGGTGTATGCTCATTTATGTTCTAAGGTAATGTTAATTTTTTTTAATGAGCCAGTGGCCTTTGGTAATTTTGGTGCATATATTTAGACAAAAGCGGTCACAAAAATACTTACACTTTGGTTTGGTTCTTTAGTGCTCAATGCTGAGACATATTGACCTGTTGTTTTTAAGATTTGTTATTGATAAAATCCAGTTCAGAGTGTTAACCTCGCTAGGCTGACTGAAGTATGTTACCTGGTATTTTAAGTATGACTTTCATGACCTGAGACCATTCATACAATTAACATTAGCGTCTTTAATTCAGTTTCTATATATTAAAAAAAAATCTTGTTCTAGAAGACTAGCATGCTGACAAATTTGAAGAGTACAGATTTTGAGAATACAAGCAATAAATGCAAAACCTTTGTAGTTTTTGTCTGTATGTTCTATGATTTGTTCTTTTCTTTGTGAATTGACTATGCTTAATAGCAAATGTATTTTCTGAATTCATTTGTGTTTTCTCTAAATATTAAGATTTAACAATGCGTGTATTTGTGTTTACTTTGGCAGTAAAAAAAGAGGAGGAGGATTTTGAAGAAAAGAAATCCATTAAGAAACGAATCAAAGAATTAAAAGTTTTGGATCCAAAGATTGCACAGAATCTGTGTAAGTAGATTCTGTTTTTATGACAGAATGATGTTGTATAAATGTCTTTCTTATCTGACTGCCTCATAACCAGTTTTTGTTTAAAGCGTGTGAGAATATGTGCATATGTGCAGTAATTGGTGTTAAGCCCAAATATGTGAGTTGATACAACTGAAACACCTTTAGAAAGACCCATAAAACAGTTAAAGGTTATCCCTTGTTTAAGACTGAAACTATTCTCTTCTATTTGTATTGAAGTACAAGCATATAGCTATATAACTAATCATCTATCTATATTTTCAACATATTCATCAAGGAATACTGCTTGGCCGTTCTACCCACACCACCGCCACACAACAAAAACCCCCCCCCCGTCAAAAAAGACAATAACAATAATAACAATAATAATAATGCAATACTCAATATTATGCAATAGTATGCAAATAAAGATGATAAAGTTTTGGCAGAGAGGAGTGGTATAAAGAATAGGTTCCTAAATGCTGGCAGAGATAAAATAGGAAATGATTGGATTATGGTGAACAAATAAACAGGTTTTTATAAGAGTATTTTTGGGTTTTAACTGTTCAGGTGGTTTTGGTTTCTCATGGTGCTTTTTAATGAGAAAGCTCAGAGAAGACCATTGAAGAAAAAAGTGTCACTTCAGCACAAAATACTAGAACAGCAATGATTATCATGCATAGTGGACTTTTCACTGGCTGCTTATGGAGGTCTTCTGTGATGCTGGATGTTGTGCATAACAAATGGATGGAGAAGGATGGAATTCTAGGAGAACAGGAATTAAATATGTTTAAAATTGTTATTGCTTATCTATATTACTTTGCATAATGTTTGTTAACCTGAAGGTGCTATAGCCTGTTTAACTGGTGTTTTCTAAGTAGAGAAAAGATTGTTGTTGTATTGCTTTCTTCATTATGTGTTGAATCTTCATTTTAGCAATTTTCCTTGGCTCTTTCCGAGTGCCTTATGAGGAAATCAAAATGATGATATTGGAAGTAGATGAAACACAGCTGTCAGAGTCCATGATTCAGGTAAGGAAATTGACACTTTAAATCCCAATATTTCAGGGTAAGTTTCTCATTAAATAGAAACCTGTAGTTAAAAAGCCTCTTAACATAAACTTTTGGCTAGGAAATCACTGCAAGAATCTCTTTTTTTTTTTTCTTTTTTTTTCTGCGAGCTGTAGGTTTTTTTATATTTGTAAATGTCATGGTTTAACCCCAGTCAGCAGCTAAGCACCACACAGCTGCTTACGCACTCCCCCTTGGTGGGATGGGGGCAGAACTGAGTAAAATGAGAAAACTTGTGGGTTGAGATAAAGACAGTTTAATAGGTAAAGCAAAAGCTGTGCACTCAAGCAAAGCAAAGCGAGGAATTCGTTCACCACTTCCCATGGGCAGGCAGGTGTTCAGCCATCTCCAGGAAAGCAAGGCTCCATCACGCGTAATGGTTACTTGGGAAGACAAAAAAAAAAGGGTCTGGCTGAGATGGAGTTAATTCTCCCCACAGCAGCCCTCATAGTGCTGTGCTGTGTATTGGTAGCTAGCAAACTGTTGATAACACACCAGTGTTTTGGCTACCAAAACCTTGCCACGCAAAACCAACACACATATGGAATGGACTATCCCTTTGGTCAGTTGGGGTCAGCTGTCCCAGCTGTGTCCCCTCCCAACTCCTTGTGCACCCCCAGCCCACTCGCTGGTGGGGTGGTGTGAGAAGCAGGAAAGGCCTTGGCTCTGTGTGAGCACTGCTCAGCAGTAACGAAAACATCCCTGTATTACCAACATTGTTTCCAACACAAATCCAAAACATAGCCCCGTACCAGCTATTATGAAGAAAATTAACTCTATCCCAGCCTGAACCAGGATAGTAAAGCATTTTTTTTCTTTTTTTAATGAAAGCAGCTGAATTTATATTCTCTGTTTTCTGCATTCACATTGTCCACATCTAAATTGAGATTTTTCTTTGGTATATATTCAAACAGCATATGATATTCTGTTTCTTCCCTCATTACTATTTTTTTCTTTAATTTTTTTCTATCTCTGTCTCCTCTGCACAAATGTGTTATTCTGATCAAAAACTAGATAGAAAAGGGTTTGGGGTTTTGTGTTGTTTTTTAGCCCCTGTCCTTTCAGAGCTGATACAATCTGGTATCTTGGGGCATCCACAGTGACCACTTTTCTTCCCTAGAGTTTTTGAAGAGTGTTTTCCCTTTCTGTATTATTTTATTCAAAGTACAAAATCAGTATGATTCTGGGTGGAGACAAGAGAAACTGTGGAAGTTCCTCACGTTCTTCTATGCGCAGTGTTATTTAAGGGTTTATAAATTAAAGAACTTCATAAAATAATTTAAATACAAATACTTCATTATAGAACCATGGGAAAAAACATTTGGAAAGGGTATCTGGAGGTCATTTGATCCAAGCCCCTGCTCAAAGCCAGGTCAGCTAGAGCAGGTTGCTCAGGGCCTTTTCCCGTTAAATTTTTAATATCTCCAAGGCTGGAGACTCCATAGCCTTTCTGGACACCTTTTCGAGTGTTGGACCACCCTTGTGGTAAAAAACCTTTTCTGGTTTGTCTAACTGGAATTTTCGTCATTGTAACTTGTGACCTTCTGCTGCATGCCTCCAAGAGGAACCTGATTGCATCTTCTCTGTACCCTCCAGCTGGGTAACGGAAGCCCTCATTAAGTTCCCCTGAGCTTTGTTTTCTTACAATTCAATAAACCCACTTCTCTCAACTTTTCCTTGCCTGTCGTGTGCCATGTTCCCCAATCATCTTGATGGGTATCCATTAGATTTGCAAAGATATGTCTTTTGACCAAGATTGTCTTAGACAGGACTCCTACATACTGTGATGAACTTGAAATTATTGCTATTATGGCTCATAAATGTCATAATTATTATCAATCTACTTGTAATGTGGCATAGATTTCAATTACAGAAGATTTAGATCTCTACAGCATACCTGAAAGTGTGTGAGAGACATGGGTACCAGTCCCTACTGAAATATCCAAGAAACATAAAGTTAGCTTTTTCTAGAAACATATGCTTTTTGCAGGAATGTTTATTAGGGAAGACATAAATACAGGTGACAGAGTCATAAAATGAGTTGTAACATTAAGGCTCTTTGAGATTCAAATGTGTGAATGGTATTGCAACATGTAGCAATTTCTGTTCAAAGGTCAAAACAAGTCAAATTTATACTTGTGCACTTTGCTTGCAAAATAAATTTGCACTATATTGGAGTGTCAAAATAAGGTCCTACTGACGAGGCTGTACTATGTTCAGCATGCTTTTTTTCTTCCCGCACGCAGTTTGGCCCTCACTTTTTGTCACCTTGATTCCAAAGGTCTTTAAACTCTGAGCTATTTGGACTTAACTTTCCTTTAAAAGGAGCTTGTCTACTGATTGATTTGAAGAATGAGATGTTTCTCTTCAGAAATATTTGAAGGAAGAAACATGAGCCATCACCTCCAGTGACAATATATATAATTATGGTATAATTCTGTTTATTTTGTTCGATGATGCAGTTAATATTGGCACAGAAACTATTACTTTAAGGTTATTAGGATGAACAGAGCAGTTTACACCTCTAAGCTTTTTATTGTAGATGCACTTACATCACTTTTTCAAGGTTGTTTTCATGCTCAAAAGAAGCATGATCTGTATCTTTATTTTATTTTATTTGGAATAATCATAGAAATTCTCTGAAATAGGATGAAAAGCTTAGAGATGGAATATGCTACACAGTTACGTTCAGCTTGAACTCTGTCTCAGGTAGTCCATACTTGCTCTGAGACTCTCACTCATGCTGTTTGACCTTAGCACTGTTTTTCAATGGTGAAAATTTAGCTTGCTAACTAAATTATGTCCTCAACAATATCATTAACCAACCTGTATATACTAAATAAATATCATATATCAAAATTATGAAAAACTGGCATCTTGGTAATTTGTACTTATTATTTAAAGAAGGCAAAAAATTTTTCACATCAAAGCTCTGAGGAGAAAGATCATCAAACTATTACTAGATAGTTAATTAATGGCATACTTTTCTGTGAACATGTGGTAAATACTCCATCGGTTGTGATAAGCTAAGAAGAAAAACTTTACTTTCGTTGAGAATTATTCTTTTTTTCTTTTTAACTTCTTCTGTGGACTATTATTTCCATTTCCATGGTATGTATTCTTTCTCAAAGAATACCTACATTTCTGTATATTTAAAACAGCTAACAACCTAGCCCCACTTTATTCTCTATACAATAGGCATGGTTAACAATAATAGGAGATAGTTTTTGTCATGCTGATAATCTTGTAGCTCTTTTAATTGGTATTAACAGTAGAGTATATTGAAAGTCAGTGTATCCAGTAATGTCTCTGTGTAGTTTTTGGCATCAGAATTGAGTCTAAAGTATTTTTGAGTCTTTTTGTGTTTACTTTTGGAGGGGAAGAAACAATTTTATTTAAGAAAAGAATAAGGGAAGTTGAAGAGCCAAACATGAGGTGAGGAATAACATCCTACAAGAGGACAGTGATGTTAGCAGCTGCTGTGATTGAATGAAAATCAGTGTAGTAGAATACAAATGATAATGCTTATAGTATAGTGTATGAACACAGTCATATATAACAAGGCATACTGTTAGAGGATGGCAGGTCCCACATATTGTTGGTTTTGGTTTGGTTGGTTGGTTTTTTTTAGGCATATAAATGATTCAAGAGTATAGATTGCAAAAAATTCAAAGTGATGAAACACTTGCAGGCCTAAATCAAATGGAAAAAATAATAGAACTTAGGCTCCAAATTTACTTTGCAAGTTTGGATGTAAAAATTTTTATCAAATGGTTTAATCCAGGTATCTTGTTTCTGGGTAAAACAACCCTGTAATAACTTTGAAAAGGGAACCATCTGAGTTTAAACTCAAAAACACTTAAGACACCTATCTTCCTTTGGATGTGGTAGAATAATGTCTCTCATGGCTTTAAAAATTTGGTATACACCTTCACATATGCTTATGCTACTAAATAAATTTAACTATCCAGCTGTATGTCTCTATTTCTGCCTTTAAAAACCTTCACAGGTATGAGCTATGGTCGTGCTATGAAAATGTAATCCTGTGTATTTCATGATTCTGAGAAGAGCAAAAGCATGCATAGGTTTGCAAGCATATGGCTATTTTTATTTATTTATATAAGATACCTTAGATATTATAGTACTGCTTTCTAGAAATTTCTTGCCTTCATAATTTTTTTTTTCCTAGCTTTAAATATTGTTCAGTGTCTCCTAATGTCACAGTTTCTGAAGCTGGAAAATTGTCCTTAATCCTACACTTATTACGCTTAAGAGCTAAAAGAGCTTCTTTCTCTCTCTCTCTTTCTTTCTTTCTCTTTCTCAGGTTAGAAATTTAGTTCTGAAAGATGTAAAAATTCCAAAAGACATGTTGTAATCCAAATAGTCATTGACTAATTATTGGAATGTTTCTTGTGACTTCTTTCTCCTGCTTATTTTCTGTTTGATATTCAAAATGTCTTTCATCTCTGGCAGTTCAAAAGCTTTATCTGAACACCATAAAGCTGCTTTGATATCAGCTGCTCCTTCAGCTTTTCTTTTTTTCTGACGCTCAGTGTTGAAAACATTCATACAACACTTTGTTTCTCTTTTTTGAAAGTTTTGTGGTCAGTTTTTCTACATGTGAAAATTATTTTACAATCAAACAATAACATTTTAATCTCAATAAGGATTATGGAATTGTAGTATATTTATAGCTGATTATATGGATGTTGTATGTCAAGACAAGAAGTAAGTGGGTTATGAATTTGTAATTTAAAATGTTTCTTTTTACACTTTGTGCCCTTTCATTTTTGCTCAATGTTGCTGATTTAGTGCTGGACATCTTCATCCATAATTGATGTAGCCTTTGTAACAAAAATGTTTTCCAAATGTAATAATAGTAAGGATATGTATGACTACTGTCATAAATTCTTCATGCTGAAAGTCAGTCTGACCATGTCCAAATCAATCTCCATAAAATTTAAGTTTACATTATTATTTTAAGCATCATCATTCATGCATTTTTAATAGTTCTCTTTTTTTTTTACCAAAATCTTTATTTGAGCATGGACACTGTGTTGAAGCAGTCTACTCTTTAACTATCATTTACTCTTCCTTTGGTTCATTTAGACTTTTGCTTGTAAATCTAGGTTTTCTTATTTGCTGACTTAATTTCTTGATAAACTATTTGATCCTTACTTTAGATATGACAAAATATTGCAAAGTAAATTACTTATTGTAGTCCTTAGAATCAAAGTAGGGTTTCAGTTCTTAAAATAGTAACTAATTTTACACTAAAACTAAACAGTGATAAAGGACTGTCGAGGTCTTTTTATCCATTAGAAAAAAAGGTTTGATAAATCCTAAACTACCATAAAATTACAGTTGTTACAAAAGCTATGAGATTGAGTTATAAAAAATTAAAAGAGGTAGTATTAAACAAAACCTTCAAGCTGCTTTTAAAGAAACTTTAACACTTTGGATATATCTGGTCTTTAGTTACAAATCTAGTATTTTCTCTCTTTAACAAGAGGAATATCTATACTACGATCCAAGGGTGCTATTAGAACTCGAATAAATACCTGGGGCTAGCTTCGAACTAGCTAATACAGGTTCTGAAGATAGTATAGAGCCACTAAGTTGACTACCAGTTTAGGGATATTTTTGGGGTACTTGTTAAAGAGTTGAATACTTTCTTATTAAATTAGGGAAGTATGTTAAGCAAAGCATAGCTATGACTTTATATCTCTCTGGCCCCAGAAAGATACTTTATATATCCGAACTGGCTGAATTTCCTGTAGAAGAAGAAATTAGGATCTTTTGTGGATAAAATTAGGGTGGGTTTTTGTAAGACTTTCAGATGGAGATCCTGTTCACTAACTTAAATAAATTCTTTTTTTGTTGATTTTTATATCACCAAAGCTATTTACTTGCTGAGTAATAAAACAGATTTTGACTTAACCGAAATGTCTGCCTTTTCCATCGAGTAATGTGGGAATGCTAGAGTTAGTCTTTCTGGTCTTTTCTTGAAATATAGTAGTAGGTAGTGGGATAGCTGTGTTTGCTAGACTGAATCAATGTTAGAAGGATCGAATCTTTATTTCAGTTCAGAAGAGTGATCTTACTGGTAGACCAGGGAGTGTTTTAAGAAAGAACACAATCTCTCTCTTGTTTTCTTACTGTGATGGAAGCTTAGCCATTGTGTAACCAGGTACACAAGAGTCATAAACTGAGAAAGAAAGCAGACTAGAGGGACTCCTGACTATTGCCTAGTAGTTATAGTCATCTTGGAAAGGGACAGAACCGAGCTACTGACTCAAATGGTATACCATAATTAAATGTTTTAGAAGCTCTCTACTTCCAGAACCTCAGAATAGCCCTTTTTAGTCCACTTAGCTGATTGTAATTAGAGTGGGATTCGGGTGCCTAAATGTAAATGTCTATATATAAATAAAAGTGTCTCAGTGTTCAGGAAGCTCCAGGAAGTCTGAGGATTCTTCAGATGGTCAGATGAAGGTGACATGTGTAGATTCCCTTACCTATGTTCACAAGACATTCACTTGTGTAAGTGTCCAGGCTCCCCATATGGACTCCTGAATTCACCTGAAGCTGAGTCGCGCTTCTGAATTTCTACTTCTGGCAAGTTTTCAGTCTAAGTAACATGTAACGGGTTTAAGGTTTTGTTTTGAAATGCTAGAAAATAAATTATCCATTTTCAAAATATTTTTTGTCTAGCATTAATAATTCTTGCCATCCTTTAGATAGATGTGTTACACTTGAAATTCTTGTTCTGTTTGCTTCTTAGTGTTCTGTTTGCATAGTGCCTATCAAGCATATTCTTTCTCTAAAAACAGTGTTTAAAAAAGACTACAGAAGTGTTTGTAGAATCAGCGAAAGATGCTAGCGAGCAGTATTGAGTCACTTTCTTTTTACACTCTCAGATTAATTTGTGTGTTGCCTATTTATGTTCTACTGTCTTCAGGGAGGAGACTTCTTTGGAGTGTGTGGTAATGATGCATACGTAATACCATTTGCCTACAATAATACAAGCAACATAGAATCTGAGGTTTTTAAGCCTATTTTGTTTTTCTTGATAGAATTTAATAAAACATCTTCCTGAACAAGAACAATTGAATGCATTATCCAAGTTCAAGAATGAGTATAATAATTTGTCTGAGCCGGAGCAGTTTGGAGTTGTGGTGAGTTCTGTTTTGTTATCACTTTTTTTTTTTTTTGTCCTTTCCTGAAATATAGTTTTAATATAGTGTTATAGAAACAATACCAGCTACTTCTTCCCAAATGTGAAGTGGTTCCAGACCATGAGAAGAGTATGAGTGCTGCCTTTTAATCGGACTTTTAGTGGACATATCCATGGTTGTGGAAGGCCTGATTGTTGGAATATTACTGTTGGAATGATTTGGGATTCTCTTTCTTTAAAAACCCCTAATTTAGTTTACAAAAATAAATAAATAAAAAAAAATCAGTGGTATTTTCTATGGCAAAGTTTAACTGGGAGATACAGAGCCATTTTTTAATTTCCATAGCTCAGATAGTTTGGCTTTACTTTTGGTTTACTTTTGTTTACTTTTTGTTTGCCAAATCTTAACTTTTTCAGTGAAGTTGTCTACACTTGTGTTTTTCTTTCTATTATCCATGTAAATGAGAAGAAAATACTGTAGTTATCACCACGTTAGCCTATTCTGCCTTCTTCTTTCTATGTTTTATAGTGTGTTCTGTCAGGAGTACTTGTAGTCACTTTTTCCATTCCCAGCAGGAAGATACATTTAGAATATCTCCCAGGCTGAATTAACAAAGGAAGACTGGAAGAGAGAAAAGAAACTGCTGCTATTTCAATGCTGACAGTTGATGCTTTCTGTGGAAATACCATTTGGATATAATTTATATAATTTCTATATAGCTCATAATTCATAATTGTTAATAACTTCATCTAGACAAACATGGAATAAGGCTATTTCTTTTCCTGGGTGCATATGTGCATTTGATTTTTCTTGTCCACTCCAAGTGTTTCAAGCTAACGTGATCATTGTTAGCTTCATCTGGGAGGATTTCCCTGGGAGGGAATAATTCTTTTTAGTTGTATCTGTGGGCTTCAGGAAAAGTAGTAACATGTCTTTGTAACAGTAGGTACTTTCTGTGTGGATATCAAATAAATGTACTTAAATATTGGAACAGCTGGAGTACAGGTATGGGAGCAGCAATCACTATTCTGAATCAACTGAAGAATGTTGGTATGGTCAGGAAACACCACTAAATTGAATTGGTGCCAGTTACAGACGTGACATAGGCAGTGTTCTTTGAGTAGAGGTACTTCTAAAACAAAACTAGATCTGAAGTGGTGCTTTTGCTGAAAGCTGTTGCCGCTGTTAATTTTTGATCCATCTTTAACAAGAGTAACAGCTATTGTACATCTGCTGTAATGCTGATTTCTATATTCTTGGAAGTCTTCTAACTACATTCTGGGAACAAGAAAAAAAGAGGAAGAACACCAATGCTTTTAACACTTTTATTTATTTTTCTAAGATTTTCATATACAGTTTTCTGTTTGAAGCCAAATTATTGATTTCTCTTGGTCCAAATTTCTTAGTTACAAAAGCTATTAAATCTTTTGCTATTTATTTCTTGTTGAGGTTTTATCAGACATTCAAAGGATATATTTATAGTTCATTCCTATCTTAATGTTATTTTATTTGATTAAATTATCCCCACTTATCTCAAAAGGTCATTGAATATGTCTCTGCAATCCTTTAAAAGAAATACCCTCCCTCAACAAAAAAAAATCCAGTCAAAACATATTTTGCTGTTTTATAAGATGTGAAACTAATGCCTTCAGCACCTTTGTTGCTTGCAAACAACACAAAAGGTCTAAAGTCAGAGAAATTACTACCTTTTCACTTGTTTTGTTATAATATTTGCTTATGCAATTCAGAAAATAGAAGTTGTTTCACAAAGGTAGGTTCACAATGGTAAATTTTAGGTTTGTTTTCAGCCTAGTTAATATTACAGAGGTTTAGAAAGAGAGAAATAGGTTAGCAGTTAAATGTACTATGACTAACAGAATTTAACCTTTTGGTGGTGAGAATTGGAAGGAGGCTGTGATAATTATGATTATGTTTGAATCAGTTCTCCAAGTGAAAATGTTGGTTTAAATTTGTAATTTTATAAATGAGAGTTCCTACATTTACTTACTCAGTTGTGATAATCTGCATAAAGTTAAGATGCATCAGTATATTAATGTCTCTTTAAAATAATAAGCAAAACCACAACCAGAAAAAACCCAAACCACTGAAGAATCACGTTAATAATTTTAAAAAATAGTTTAGATTGACTTAAATTGTACCTTCTGACTTGTCAAATTCTCTTTAGATTTTCCATGGTTCTAGGCTTTGAACATTTTTATTTTCTCACTTGTATATTTTCTTTCTTATACATGGGTTAATACTGCACCTGATATACAGTAGATGCTAATTGGGCATCCTTGGAATATATAGCCAGATCTATGGTATAGGAGGCTTCTTATCTGATATAAGAATTGGGTCCTTCGTCTTACTTTCATCTTCCCTCCACAAATTTCTTCAAATCCTGTAGGGTGAAGCAGCTATGTTAGATCCTCCAGACTTCTTCCTTGTCTCAGAATGAGTCTTCATCTTAAATTCCAGTAAAGAATCTGATGAAACTAGAAATAGGATGTACTAGGTTTAGTTTGGAGTTACATGTTCAAAATTTAAGTAATATATTGTAATACATACATTTCCTAAGAATGTGTTTCTTCTTAGGCACGTATCTCAATCAGTATATAAGATGGGTGATGTCCTAGGAATGCAGTTTCTTTATATAATGAATAAAAACTCTTGGTAGAGTTCCTGGGTCATTTGGTCTAGAAGTTGAAGTGGTTGGAGAGGAGTTGATAAAGAACTGAAGTGGGGAGGAAAAAATGGTTAGGAGGAGCGAGTATGATAAAGAAAACAAAACAATCTCTCGCGTTTTTCTCTCTAGCATAGTCTTTTAGTATGAATCTGGCTGATCCAGACGTTTAGATGACACTGTGATAAGCAATACAGGAAAAGAAGAGAAAGCTAGTAATGGAATATTTTACAAAGACTTTATTGAGCTCCATTTCCTGTTTTGTTTTTTTTTTTTTTTCTTGTGCTATTTGGTGCCACAAATGACCAGTCTTTCTCTGCTTGTCAGAATTGGACCCTCTTTATGTAAACATTTTTTGTTTTTATGTATAAGTTTTATGTTATGTTAACTTCAAACATTAGGGTTTTTTTGAAAAAATAAAAAAATAAAAAAAATGCAGTCTATTCTGGAATTGAGCTCTATAAATGCTGCACTGGTGTTGACACAGAAATGAATCTTCTCAGTATAGCTGATTTTGGTGGGATTTTTTCTTAAAATTGCTGGTTTATGCCTCATTTTTTGCTGTTCTTTTCAAATGAGGAGAAGCAAACTTAAACATACAATATAATACTTTCAGGTTTATCTTGTGTCCTGTAGTTATGGTATTTCAAAGAATTCAGAGATCCCATGTTAATTTGCTCTAAAGTTATGATTAAAGGAATGACTAAACTATTTGACTCTCAAGGAAGAGCCTAGGTAGTGAATAAACTGATAATTACTACTTGTGTGATAAAAAAAAATAAATAATGGAAACCTTTTATCCTTTTGGCTTTGAATTCAAAGTCAAGATTGAGTACTCTGAAAGAAACAGCTGGACAGTTACTGAGATACTGGCATGTTGTGACTGTTACAGTATTGTATGTTCTACTTCAAACTAAGTTAATTAACTTTTGTTGTTGGCTTAAAGACATTGAGGGCATGAATCTAAACAGTTCAGGTTCCCTTCATGAGTATGGCATCTGGTTTTTTGCAGGTTTTCTTGGTTTGTGTGGGTTGGGTTTTTTTGGGTGTGGGGTTTTGTTTTTTTTTGTTGTTGTTGTTGCTGTTTATTTGTAGTGACTCTATAGGTTGCTTTTGTGGTTTCTGCAATTATCCTTTTTAAGTTATTTTGCACTTTTAAACTTTCTCTTCATTCAGCAGTAATTATAAAATAAATCCTTTATTACCCTTATCTTCTCTTCCACATTTTAGGTTTTCTTTAGGTAAACTACTTTATTTTTCTGTATGTTTGTTCTTTCACGTGCTCCAGGAAGATGTCTCAGAACATAGATATTATCACCTATTAGTGTGGAGTTTGGGGTTTTTGTTGTGGTGGTGGTTTTTGGTTGGTTGGTTTTGTTGACTTGCATGCATCCATGAACTATTTCATGAAAATTATGTTAAATCTGTTCATCATATCAAGCACTTTAACTTAGCTTCATAGTATTATCTTAAGTTGATCTTGTCTTGAATGCTGTATTTTGTCGCTCAAATTCTTGACAAAGTATGCTTGCTGAAATTTAAATATTCAATTGCATTCTTTTTTACTGTAGTTCTTGTTTTTTACTTGTTTTTACTCAGTGAAATAAACTTCCTCCTAAAGTAATTTATCCTTATTATTTTCTTGGAGGTTTCATTGATCATGACTGATATTGGGTGATATAGACTATAAAACTTGTTAATGATGATCTTTGTGTTTAGAAATGAGTAGTCATATGACAGCACACTTGCAATGTGAGACCATCTGAGATGAAAGGTGTTTCACCTAGATGATCATCTTGGTAGGTGACCATTGACAGAAGGTTGATTTTTTTAGTTTCATTATACTTAAGGTATACAATATAGCCTATTTCTTTGAGTCTTTTGCATGAGAGAAGATAAAGACGCTGAAACACAGAACTATATTGTTAAAATTTAATGGGCAAAGAAGAAGTTGAGTTCTTGGAGTATACTGATTAAGTATCTTTCTACCACACAAACAAGATGTGAAAACACTGGAGAGCTGTTGCATTCCTTTTTGAATTTGTGATTCTTCTTTTTTTGGTCCTCACACTCAAGGAGTGAATTGGAAAGCACTGGTAAGGTTTTGAATATTGTAAGAATGTGATTATTAAACTCACATCATGTATCTTATAAGTTTTTTGGGTATTCTAGTGAAATAGCATAGAGTTGGAATCACAGAAATAATAAATTAGAAATAAATGTTGAGATGTCAAGCAAAATTTTAGAATTTTTTTAGAAGAAAAGTAAGAAGGATTAACTAAATGGTGATTTATCCCAGTTTAAGAAGATATTTTTA